GGATCAACACTGATGACAATATATCTTCTGAATCCATGTAAAGCTCAGCAAATCTGAGGGCAATTTTGCAAACAGCAATGCAAATGAGCAGCATCACCCTTTATTAGCACAGGCTTAAATGTTTGCCCAATACTCCTGGAGCTCTGAGCCTGCAAACACTCTCTTACTGTTCAAGTTACTCAAATGAAGTGCCAGAAATTACCAGGTCTGTTCAGGTGTAGACCAGGCTGTGAGCAGGGACTGTGGTTAATCAGGACAGCAGAAGGCACCACATCATGGTCTTAAGTCTTAACCAGTTTTTTTTGCCCAGTTCCACTTCTAAGCAAAACCAACACATAAAGCCAAGTGCTTTGCAGATTTCTGAGTGCTGATGCAGTACTCCTTCTCTCATCAAAATATCACTGTAGAATTTAGAAACTCTTGCCATATTCAATCAGGTACCTGCCTCTGCCAATAGGACAAAGGAAATGCAACCCAGATTTCAGCAGCAAATGAATCAATAGATTCAAACCCTTAGGAGCAGAAGGTTTACACTTAACTGGAATATTAAAAATCAGTTCATCTCAATAAATAACATTTTTGGTAGCTTAGATAAACACATCTAGTGCATAGCTGGATTCATGTTGCTGTCATCAAACAGAGCTTTCAAAACATAACAAGCCCAGTGGATCAGCTGTGCCTTTGAAATCTGAAGAATAAGACAGGTTTTCAGATTTTATCAAACAAAATATGATAGATTAGGAAAACTATTAGATTACCTGTCCCTGGAGGGTTTGTATGATAGTTTGTCAGTTCATTTCAAGTTTCTTAGGAAAAATATCAGCCTAAGGGTTTGTGGCACAACTGAAACACCGTGATGGAATCACTGCTCCCTCCTGCTCCATGGAACAGTCAGCTCTTCTGTCTCATCTTTTCACATCAAACCTCTCCAAATGGTGTATGAGCAAGAGATCTTTTGATTGGAAAAGCTGATACTGCATCTTGATCAGAAACAAGCACCACGAGCACAAGCCTTCAAAAGCCAAAGCAACCAAGGACGATAATGGTAAATCCGGAGTGATGATTAGGGAGAGATTGGACACTGTGCTGTTGATTGAGTGGTGATCCCAACCCACCACAGAAAAGCAGTGAAGTCAGTTTGAAACAGAGCAATAAAACTCACACTGTGACGGTAGAAGGGGTCAACTTTTGTAGGGTATTTGTCAAACTGCAAAGGGATCAAAGCACAAACTAGTTACTTGATATTTCCTTGCTTTACTTCTGTTGGCAAAATAGAAGACAAACTTCTCTATTGTTTGGCAACCAACAGAGAGGAAAAAATACGTAGAAAACTAAGTTTCCAATGAAACTGTTTGGGATTTTTCTTTCTTCAAAGTAAATCAAGAGACAGGAAAAGGGAAGAGGCACCAGAGTGCACACTCCTCGTCCCTCAGCTCCCACTCTTCACCTGAACCTACCACTCATGGGCCTGTCACGAGGGAGGGACAGCCCTGCCTGTCCTGCCCAGCCACACCTGGGCAGCACAGGCCTCCTGCCCCACACAAATTCTTAACACTTTTTGTAATAAAGAATAGAGTTGTGCTCTACTTATCCTCACATTTCTGCCTGGGGTACGCACCATGGGCGGTGCTGGCGTCGGCATGATGGCAGTGGGTGGGATGGCGTGGGGGAAAGGCGTGAAGGTGTGCTGGTGTGTGTGTTGGTGTGTGTGCTGGTGCTGGTGCTGGTGCTGGTGGAACTCGGTCCTCAGGTAGGGCGGGGGGCCCAGGGAGGCCCCGCGATCCGCGCTCTGCGAGGCCAAAAACCGCGTGTTTAGTTCCTGACGGAGGAGATCTTGTTCTGAAACACAAACAACAAAAGAACCCCCCGTGAGCTCTGGGGCTTTTCCACACCTTGTGCCACTTGTTCTGAAACACAAACAACAAAAGAACTCCCCGTGAGCTCTGGGGCTTTTCCATACTTTGTGCCACTTCACTGTCTGTGGCATCAGTGCTGTACTTAAAACCCTGTACAGGGTGAGAAAGCTCCCTCAGGTCTTCCCCAAAGGCCTTAGACATTTGAAAGTCTCCATTTCCCCTTCCTCACCAAGCCTGCTTTCACATTCCTCTGAGCATTAACCTGAGGGTTCTCCCTAAATTTGTATGGACATGAACACAGCCCTAAATAGGTGAGGAGGTACGAGTAGGCTGGAGGAGCAAACGAGTGGCTGCTGCTCATGTGAGTAGCCTGATGTACAAACTGATGTTACTCAAATGTTGATATTCCTCCATTTTCTTCCCCCACATCCTTCTCAGTGACCTGGTGAGGCCCTGGCACAGGTTGCCCAGTGAAGCTGTGGCTGCTCCATCCCTGGAAGTGTCCAAGGTCAGGCTGGACAGGGCTTGGAGCAACCTGGGCTAGTGGAAGGTGTCCCTGGCCATGGCAGGGTGGTGGATCCAGATTAACATCCTTCCAACCCAAACCATTCCATGATTCCATGATCTCCCCACAGTCGAGGTATAAAAGAGCACAGTTTTCTCCAGTGATAAGAATCTCTACATCTTGCACAAACACAGGCTCAGCACCACTGTGTTCACAGCCACTGCAGACCCCCTCCCCAGCCAGGGAAGCAACTCTGGGCTCAGACCACAACTGCGGTGAAGACCTTCAGCAAAGGGGTCACAGATTCTGTGGGGGCACATGGTGGTTGTACCATGGATTGAACAAAAGAGACATGAAAAAAGCACAGCCTTCCGAAAATAGTCATTCCCAGGGCAGAGGAAAAGTATTGGGTATGTCTAGGTGTTTTGGGGCTTTGATATCACTTAGAATCATCCAGCAGCAAGTACAGCCTCTCCCCACCCAACAGTGCACCTAAAACAGTTACTGGGACTAAAACCAGAGAACTGGTGTCCTACACTGCACGAGACCCTCTGGGGCCACGACCCCTCTGGCTCTTACCTGAGTAAGTGCTACCAGCAGGGTGTCCTGGAACCTGCAGTGTCCCTGACGTCAGTGGAGGTGGAGGGGGCAGAGCCGTGGGAGGGGCAAACATATTGGGGTGGTGGGGGTGTGCTGGGGGCTGCAGGGTGGGTGTGAAGGTGTGCAGGGGGCTGTGGCTGGGCAGGGACAGCGGGAACGGGGAGGCTGAGGGGTGGTGGGATATGTGGGGAGGAGGGGCCTGAGTCTTGGCAGGAGTGCTGCTTCTGCTGCTGCTGTTAAGGAGAAGAAAAGCAATTAGGCTTTGCATGGAGAGGAGGAAAGCTCTGAACACAGACCCCCCCCTCAACCCACACACAGCTCACATTAAACACAGCACGGATGGAACTCAAGGATTACAGATGCAGGTTACTATTCCCAGCCCCACCACTGTGATACTCCTTCCTCCCACCACCTGCTGGACCTTCTCTGGTATCTTTTACTTCTTTTGGTCTCTCCACACCAGCACTTAACACATATTCTCTCTCTCTGTAGGAGGCTGGTATTCTGTCCTCCGACAACACAGAGATGACACACAAAGGAGTAATCAGCCCTGTGCATTCATTACTTAATTATCAGGTCCTTTCTACATGACTGCTTCTGATTCATGTTTTCAGGCAAATGGAGCTCAAAATCAGTGATCACTGCATTAGTAAAAGTTTAATTTTTTTTGTTATGAATTAGTAAGATGAAAGACTGCAGAAAATGTGGAATGAAGTTGAGAAGGCAACAAAAGATCTGAGCTTATTGTATAGATAATGCCTCTCTCTACCCCCACAATATAAAGAGATAAGACGAGTCAACAAAATAACTATTTGTGATTACACTGGTTGCAATTTCTCAGGTTTCTTTTCCTAGTGATGAGTATTTAAAATATATTCATGTAGGGCTGAATTCTACTTGTCTTTATTTCATGTAATAACATGTTCCTATTGCAGTGACTTTTAAAGACAAGCAATACCAGCTTGGTTAAAAATAAATCCAAGTCTTAAACACCTCCATAGTGAAAACATGAAGCAACCATAGTGCTGGTTCATCAGGTCTTGAAGGTCACCAACTGTCTCAGATTTGGGGAATGACAACCTTGCCTAGAGCAGGGGAAACCTGAGGGTCCTGACTCGGAGAGACACACGGTTTCCGTGAATGTGTTGTTTAATCTCACTGCTCATCTTTAGAGGGCGATAACAAAAGATGAGGCCGATCTCACTGTGACCAGGTGAGACAAAAGCACTGCAGACTGCCAGGTGTCAGCAGTGCAGGAAACACGAAGCTGTGCAGTCCCTGGTGTGTGACTGGTGGTGCTGGGCTGTGTGCAGCTGCACCACACTCCCTGCTCTAGGGCACGGCAGTGTCTGGAGAATCAGATGTTTACAGGGATGGCAGGGTTAAAGAGTTACCCTTCAGAGAGCAGCCCAGCCTGCAGGAACTGCCATTTTCTTCCCCTCATGTATACTGTGTAAAATTCCCTCCAAAAACCCAAGTATGACAGGTAGGAAAAGTTAAAGCTAATTTAAAAATACCCAGGGTTTTTGGGATCACCAGGTCAGACACAGAGTGATCCTGGCTCATCTCAGGGTAGGAGCTGAGGTTAAATGCACTAAGTCTCCTTTACTTCCCAGTGATGGGATGGGATGTGCTGCCACTCATCTCCTTTAGTTAATTCCCCTCCACTCCATGAAGGCTCAGCCCAGTGTCCCACCCCAGCACGGCTGCAGTGACCCAGACCCATGTCTCCATCCTCCTACCTCAAGCTGTTGAGGCTCAAGCTGCTGCTGTTGTAGGCGGAGAGGGGCTGGGAGAGGCTCTGTGCGGCGGGATGGGGCTGCACGGCGGGCAGGGCCGCCTGGGCCGGCGGCAGCGGCGACTGCGGCCGCGGCGGGTGCTGCCCGGGGGGGTGCTGTGCCGAGGGGTGCTGTGCCGAGGGGTGCTGTCCCGAGGGGTGCTGTCCAGGGGGGTGCTGGGGAGCAGGGGCCCGGGAGGGCTCCTCGGGGGCCGGGGGCAGCGGCGCGGGCGGGGGCGGCGGGACGGGCAGCTCCGGGCGCGAGGCGAGCGCGGGGCTGGGGCAGTGGGCCTCGGGCGGCTCGGGGTGAGGCTGGGCCAGCGGCTGCGCCACCTGAGGGCAAGGGTCTTTAGGCACCACGGGCTCAAGGACGGGGTCTTTGCTGCTGTCCTGGCTCTTCTCTTGGCTCCTTTCTAATCCTGATATTTTGGGGACAGCCGGGCCCCGAGCACCAGGGTCGTCATTGTCAGCGGGCAGACCGACTCCTAACTCTTTATCTGCAACAACACAGAGACAGAAAGGGTTAAAACCAAGCTAGCAAAACCAGTCACACTCTGGGCAGTTCCATTTTGTTTTCATCAAGAACCACCCATGCCAACGTGAAACCAAATGAAACCCCTCTGCCTGTCCCCTCTCTCTGATAACCCTCCTCAGGACAAACCCCCTGGAAGAGAAGAGAGACCCTGTTTAGTGCTGCTGTTCTCTATTATTGTCACTCATCATCACTGACCCGCTGAGGGAACCAATGCCACCTGAGCTCTGGGCCTTATCTCAGAAATGTTAGGGTTGGAAAAGACCTATAAGATCATCAACCACCAACCCAGCACCAATACCATGTTCATCACTAACCATGTCCTCAAAGGGCCACATCCACGTGTTTCTTGAACACTTCCAGGGATGACGACTCCACCCCTGCCCTGGGCAGCCTGTGCCAATAGTGCCTGACCACTCTTTTAGTGAAGGAATTTTTCCCAATATCCAAACTAAATCTCCCCTGGCACAACTTGAGGCTGTTTCCTTTCTTGTCTGTTCTTACCTGGGAGCAGAGCCCGACCCCCACCTGACTCCACCCTCCTGTCAAGGAGTTGGAGAGAGTGAAAAAGTCCCCCCGAGCCTCCTTTTCTCCAGGCTGAGCCTCCTCAACTCCCTGAGACACTCAGACCCTTCAACATGACACAAGATCTAAACATTAAAACCCTGGCTTTTTGGTTGGCTGGTCATGGAATGACTTACTTCTATTTTCCAACTCTTTAATAATATTAATTAATTAATATTGTTATAATTTTAACACTTGCTACAGTGGAGTTTTGCTCACTGGGGCTCTACAGCAATTTCCTACTGGAATCACTCCCCAAACCTTCTGCCAAAGCATATCTGGTCCATGGCACCCCTTGGAATAAATTGAGGGGATGTTGCTGAGCCAAGACTGGAAGAGGTGATGTCTGAAGGAGGGGGGATCAGGAGCACCATTTAGGGCTGTATCTCACAATAATTTGGAACAGCTGAACTTACACCTTCAGCAAAGATGGAAGTGCAGCATATGGAAAACACAGAGGGTTTGAAAGGAGTTGGGACAAACTTATAATTAAAAAAGGATCCAGTGTTCTAAATAACCTTAAGACAGGAAAACTTTACTCCTTCTTCTGCCAGTCTTAAGGGGTAAAATGGCTAAATGCGTAATAAAATAACACATATCCAGAGAAAATTGTTGACAGCTCCATTGTCCAAACCCCAAAGTAAAGGAGTGAAATAAAGAGGGAGGGGAGTGAACTTGCCCAGCCCATAGCCCAGGCACACATGTTCTCCAACCATCACATCACTGGAGACAGCCTGGCAGATATGTGTCACAAACACAGCATCATCTGGGTTTCATTTAGTTAAGACATCAAAACAAACCATGTCAGGCACCCTTACTGGTGCTTTACAGGCCCTGTGCAAAGGTAGCAGCAGAGGTTTTTCATAATTTGTAGACAGGAGATGGGGAAAAGAGGGTAAAGAGAGGCAAAAGGGAGGTAAAGAGGATAAGAAGGAAGAAGGAAAGGGGGAAAAAGTAAGCAGACTTATTTGATGAGGACCTACTTTAATCACTTCTGGAATACGTAACCTGTAACAGGCACAAATTTGGATCAGAAGACTATGGAGGCAAGAGTGGGACTCCAGAGGGATAAAAATAATTACTGTGCCGTATGCTCAGGGTCTATCTCACTGCAATTATAGTGCAGGTTCTAAATAAAGGGACTTCCCTTGCATTAATTGTTTGGATCAATCCTGTTTGATCAAACAATTTTAGAAATTAGACAGAGAGTGATCTGCACAGGTGTAAAGGCAGGTCCCCAAGGAGGAAAGAAGTGAGCATGTTTGTTCAGGAATAGGTGGATCTATGTTCTCAGTCCTTATAGGTGTAAGAGTTAAAAGTTTTTGTTTTGTTTTGTTTTGTTTTTTTAACACAGTGGCATAATAATTAGGGCTTTGAGGGCTTAGCCTTGTCATTAGAAATCCCCCACTAGATGAATGAAGTAGATGGTCTGGAAATCCTGCACAGGTGATACATCCAAATCTACAGGGAACACCTTGCACTCAGTGCATTCATTAAATCCTTCCACTTGGTATTTTTAGCCCCTCTCATGTGTGGAACATTTATTCAGCACAGCTCTGTGCTGAGGATCTGCTCCTCATGCTCCTCCTCCCCGGGAGAAAAGGGCTGGGAATGCCACTGTCTCCTGGGGATCTTTTGCTGCTGCTGCTCACATCCTCATTACACAGCACCCAAGTACCATTCCTGGGAGTCTGCACTTAGAAGATGCTCTCTGTAGTGAGATAATGTCGTTCCAAATGTCTCACACCAAATGTGCCCATGGTTTCTCCCTCTCCCTGCCTAACCCCCCTGCCCCCACACAGCCCCCCAACACAGGGTCAGCTGTCCAGGAGTCTCTCTAACCCCAGTAACCCAGTGCACACATCCCTGCATGGGTGATAATTATGATGTATAAATCAGAAATTTCTCATGCCACAGTATCTCTTTGGGGAGCTGAAATCTGCCCTCAGTGATGAACATTACCAGTTACAGGTACTTGGGCTCCCAGTTCTCCCAGCACTCGCTGATGGAGCACATTTTGTCTAAATGAGTGGCATCCTCAACCTCACCAGGGCTGCCCATGGCACTGAACAGGCTCCCCAGGGCAGTGGGCACAGCCCAAAACCTGCCAGAGCTCCAGGAGTGTTTGGAATGCTCTCTGGAACAGGGTGGGATTGTTGGGGTGTCTGTGCAGGGCCAGGAGCTGGACTGGATGATCCTTGTGGGCCCCTCCCAGCTCAGGATATTCTGTGATTCTGTGTTTCATAAGGAGGGTTTGAGTCTTCATCAACAGCACTTCAGGGTCACACAGACAAGATTAGGCTTTTTCTACCAGTACATCCTGACTGAGAGGCTCAGTGTGAGAACTATGGGGAAAAAAACCCTTTATGTCACTGTGACACAGACAAGGCAACCTTCTGAGTTTGTTTATCATCACAGGAAAGTTCGCAAGTGAACTTTCTTTGCTGGTAGCCTCCACACTGTTTTGGATGAAGTGGAATCACTGCATCGTTATTCAGGAGAGCAGGAACTGTGATGTAACTTCCATGGCCTCCCCTTCCCCACTGAGTTGAACCTGCATGCAGCAGCAGTCAGTCTATTACTGAAAAAGGAATAAAGCCATAATTTGATGCTGAGGACTGAGGAACATGGGCTTAGCTTGTCCCACCCACACAGGAGATGCAGCTTCTATTATCTTCCTTTCCTGTGCCATTTGATGTGTCTTAAATTTCAAATTCCTCTATTTTTCACTTAGCACAGACAAACTGGGGATGTCTCAAGAGGAAGGACTCCCAGTAGCCTCCATGAAACCCTGCAGTGTGTGTGATTCTTACTGCACTGTCTCCATTACACTTCCCTCCAGAGCCATGGATTTGTATAATAAGCACACATTATATGCAGCTTTCCATCGTTGCCTCTCTTCCTAATGTGCAAACCAGTAAAATTTGCCCCAAACTCCATGCTCTGGCTCCTTTGGACCAGCTGGGTGGTCCCAAAGAGCTAGAGGAAGGCCAGGGGTGGCCAGTTGAGAACATCACAGCCACAGATGATGCCCAGCTGTGCTTCTGCTGACAGAAAGGCCCCATCAGAATTCGCCAAATTTGAAAATCCCAGAGATTCACCAATACAGAACACTCTCAGTTTGCCTGGTCAAGTGTTGCTTGCAATGGGTTCATCGTGTCTGGTTGCACAGGAGATGCCAAGAGCCAGCACAGGGCATTCCATGATGAGAGCTGAGGCCCCTGGGCAGCCCCAGTGGCAGCCAAGGACGTGTGACCTGGGCATCCCTGCCCTGCCCTGCCAGGACCCGGGGAATGAAACCTCCTCAGGCAATGTCCTGCATGATGCTGTCAACTTACAGTGGCCAAGCTTGCTTTCTGAACAGAAAATCATCCAACTTTTCCATGCCCAGGTCTGGAGTGTCATCCAGAAACTAGGCTGTATCATATACTGTCACTCCTCCCTCTGCCTGCACCAGGATACAGCCTCTCCACATCTGGCCTGGGAGCCTTCAGGCATCATCAGAGAGCTTTTCAGAACCAGTACTAAATTTTTTCACTTTCCTGAGAGGAAAGTTTTGAATTAAGCTCAAAGACCTTATTGCACAAGTAAGAAAATTACAGGAATTTTCAGTGTTTTGCAGCATTATCTCTGGGACTGAGCATTCAGCCCACCAAAGAAAGATTTTTATGGCATTATTTAATTTAAAAATAGTATTAATTTGCTTTTTCTACTTTGCTAAGCTGAACTCTTCTCTTGAGAACACTGCCTCTGCCTAAGTCAAGTTTTCTGCAAACTTCTTAATGCAAGATTAAAAACACAGATCTTTCAAAAACAGAAAGACTTTTTCTCCAGCTTTACCATGGATAAGTGTGGAGTTGGTGCAAACTGTCACAGCAAATACAAGCCCCTAGAAGATCTCTGGAGTCATGGAGTGCAGGAAAGATCTATCCCACAGACCACCAGCCCTAGGAGGTTCACCTCAGCAAGCACTTTACAAGGCTTGAAACAATTAATCAGGCTGAAGACCTTTCATATTGATTAGACATTGGTCAGTGCAACACTGGGATGAACAGGGGCAGGTGGCAGGAGCTGTTGGCTGCACCAGCCAACAGGGACCACACGGGCCCCAGAGGGATTCAGCTGCTCCACTGGATACACATAATTTGCTAAAAACAATTTCTCATTTTTAGCACACAGTCATCTTTCATCCTAATTTCCAAGGACACTAACAAAGTATTTGATTATGCAAATGAAGAAGATGCCTTGGAAAGCACGGTTACTGCAGCTCTGTCATCTGCTGATAGCAATTACTCCCCAGTAAGCAGGTATTTAGTACAAGTGAACAGCAAGGCTGGTGACACACTTTGCACTTAATTATAAAACAAAGGAAATCATTCAGGACAAAAGATTTTGCTACCT